TGTCGTGAAAGTTGAGATGTTGTCCAAGCTGAACTGTTTATGTGAATGCTGGCCTTGAGACTCTAGCGGCTGTGGGAGCCAGGCTGTGTGGACACAGGGGACACAGTGGGTTGGGTGGGTACTCGTTGTCATTACGTTCTACCTAACCTACCTCTTGGCTACGTCTGCTCAGTCTTGCCCATCACCCTTTTCCTTTCCATGGGCTGAAGACCTCTGAGCTGTGTGTCTGGAAAGAGGATGGCAGGGAGCAGATGGCCATGGGTAGTTCCTGGAGCATCTGCCGAGCTGCCTTGTCTGTGAGCCTGGGCCCTATGTAAGAGCTGCACAGCTTCCAGGACATCTGGTAGAGTTGGAGCTAGCGTGCACATGAAGGAGTTGCTGAGGCCTCTGAGGGAGCACTGCCTAGCCTGCTGGAGTGACCACTGGGCATCATAGACTCCAGAGGCTGGATGGAGGCAGGCTGGTCTCAGCAAGTGTCTGTGGGGCCACCGAGCTCAGCTGGCACAACTTGCATGTGAGAAACTATGGTATTACACCACCACAGTGTTGGTGTGGGGTTAGGGCCCTGTGGCTCTGTGCTGGCCCTGGGGTTACTGTTGGATGAGACCTGTCACTCCAATCATTCCCTCTCATGCTGCATCAACTGCTTCTCCTCAGTACAGGTAGGGACTGAAGCTGTTACCACTCCCTCTTCTGGGAAAACAATGTGGACACAGCCGATCAAGCCACTTGCCTCCTGTTCTCTCCCTTCCTCTGAATTCCTGGGGACCAGAGGAAAAGGCCTCCTCCTTTCACTTTGTCCTCAGCCCCGTCCCCTTCGGCTTGGCCCATCTTAATGTGACTCTGGTCACTGGTTTATTGAAGGGGGACAAAAGAGGGTTAGAGGATCATTTCAAACCAGGTCGTGGTATTGCCATGAAATCCCAGTTTTGAGTGTCGAAACTGGATATTGCCATCATTCCCTTTGTGTTCCTTGTAACAACTGTACAGTCTTCCTCCTGTTGACTGTCCCCACTGGGTAGATGTCACAAGCCAGTAAACTCAGAAAGACCACAGAGAAAGCCCATTAATAGAGTTAAGAATAACACACTGTTCCTGTTTCTGAGGCTGCCTTGGGGTACAGATGGCCATGGACAGGCCTCGCTCTCCTTTGGGAAAGTGCTCTAAGGGCAGTTAAAGGCGTGGAGGGCCCCATGAGACCTGCTGTGTTGCGTGCCTGAGATCGGTGGGGATGCGCTTGTCTCGGTTACAGCTCACACGTCCTCCACTGGAATGTGCTTCGCTTTATAGGAACTCTGGCTTTCCACCCTCTTGGCTGCCACAGCCCTGCCTTCACAGTGCTTGGCTGACAGGAGAGGGGAGGAAGTAGGTGCTGTGTCTACAGGAAGAGGTCTAAGTTATGGGCTGTGTGCTTTCTAATGCAGTTGCAGAACAGCTCCGTCACGCCGCTCTCCCAGCTGACAGCACCTGGATGCTTTCGAGGAGCCATCAAGAGGCAGGTAGTGAGGCATCCACTGTGTGCCCAGAACTAGGCTCCTTGCTATGGGGAAACAGAAAAGTAATGAGACTCTCACATGGATCCTGCCTCCAAAAGCATAAAACAATAGCTTACAATGTGCTTTTCATTTCTCATTTAAAAATTAGAGATTGTAAATATTACATTGGTATTAACCTAATGTCCTTTCTTAGGTCTTCATCTTTCCAAGAAAGGCAGGCTAATTTGGGCTTTGTTCCACTGGGCAGATACCGCTGATAAATGATACGCTCAAAGCAAGACCCTGGCAATGTGGTGGCTCTTGAAACGGGCCCTACGCATTGAAGGAAACTCCTCGAGCGAAAGGCATCCCATAAACGCTAACTCGTAGCACATACGTGAGGGAAGAGCCTTGAACACTGAGGGCCCATTTGGCCCAATTAGCAAAGCTTAGATTTCCTCATCTTGGCCTTATGTAAATAAACCATAGTCACCAATGATGCCTAGGTCCCACAGGCCTACCTGCGAGCAGTGATACCGAGCACTGCCCTCATGAGTCTTCATTCTAGAAATTCACAAGAAGCCCCCTTACTGAAGGGTGTGGGGCCCCATCAATGGATAGCTTGGCCAAAGACCACTCCTTTGAGGTGTGGCCCCCGCCCAGGAGGGGAACATCTCCACCGTTAAGCCTCAGTGTAGTGAAGATGGAAAGATTCAGACAAACCCTCACATCTGGGTCCCTGAGCTTTCAAATATCAACTGCCATTACCCCAAGGAGAACGATGCCTTCATCAAGTGGCCACTCAGAAAGACCTCGGTGTCACATGTTCATGGAGACATGTTCATGGAGACACGTACTAGACGTGGGAGTAAATACCCTGTTGTTTCTAAGAGCTGGGGGCTCTCACATGAAACGAGCTGCCACTCGGCCCTCACCACATGCTATGATCCAGCAAATACCATACCGACTGGACTGTTGGCGCCCGCCATCAGTATCCAATCCTTGTAAAAAGGACAGACAGGTCAGGTCTGGAACAGATAGTCCGAGTCTGCATGGCGCTGAAGTGGGAAAGTCCCATGTCCTCCTGGCACACATGGTGTTAAAGGGGACTGCGACTTGAGTCTCTGAAGCAGCTTCTTAGGTGATTCTATTGTATCTTCAATGGGTACCATCCAACACTGCATAGAATTGGTGAGACATGCAAACCATATCGTGTTACTTGAAAATTTGTAAAACTTAATACGCCCTAATGGAAGTGTAATGATCACGTTTATGAAACTTATAAAACAATTTCATATTTACAAATGCTTTAAAATAATAATTCACCCACTCCTACACCTGATCTGTGAGCAGTTGAAATCACACCTATTTCCCAGGTAAGGAACCGGATGTGCAGATAAAACGCCTATGAGTCGATTTGGAACAAGGATGTGCGCTCGTGGTTTTGAACCTCCAGCCCTCACAAGTTCGCCTCATTGCCTCCCTCCCTCCTAGTTAATTCAGCAAAGTGGCTTACGTGAATACTCGCACAGGGTTTCTGTAGTAATCAACCACCCTTCCACTCTTAAAATGAGCAGGACCGCCAATGAAAGCTGCCATGGAGGGTCCCGTCAAGCTAAAAGACAAACAGAAATCTGAGCAAACCCATTTCATAACTAGGCCGCTGTGGCTGCGACCTGACCCGGGGTTTGGCACTCACAGCTGGCACTCACACGGACCGGGCCACGCAGGAGCAGACCCGCCTGCTTAGTCTGAATCACTCCTGCACTTGGTTCCTTTTCAGGGTTCAGAAGGTGGTCCCCCCCCACACCCCGACCCCAGTAAGTCTTCAGAGAAAGAAGAGTTTGGAGCAAAAACTAAACAGGAATGGGAAAGCGTTTACTCAATTCAAATTGTGATCACCTGGGTCCCTCGTCAACACCCTGATGCATCCCATTTGTGGGCAGGTATACAGCTTATCACCCACCAGGAGGCACAGCTGTCACACCTCGACCGAGAGTCTGATGCAGACCCTTCAGACACAAGTTGCTCCTGCTGTCTGTGGCTGTTCGGCTTCTAACACAAGGGACACACCATACTTCTCAGTGTGCTAGTGTAAATAAATCGAATTACACGTGTTCTGAAAACACCAACTCACCTTAAAGAGGAGCTTACTCATTGGAGAAAATAGCTACTTATTAAATTTTAGTGAGAAAACAGTAAAAGAAAAAAAAAGAATATTAAAATAATCCAGGATGTAACAGAATATTCCCTAAGCTAAAGAAAAGCCTCACATATAGAAATCACTATTTTAAACATAAATAAAATATTTTCATATAAAACATATTGTTAAATTTGAAACTAAGTCCAAACTTCCTTATAAAATAGCCTCTAGGACACTAGCTGATGTGACAGGGAATCAAGAGTACTGAGTAAGTGAACGTTATAATTCACATTAATGGCTTTTAAACCTTAACTTTTTAATTACTCTTAACATCTCTCTTAGTAAAAAAAGATTATGTTAAGAATTTGGGTTCCATTCTGATCTTGAACAGAGACAGGTAGATAGATACATAGCTATCTTCTTTTCTGTCAGTTTTTATCCACTTTATTGACTTTTTGATTAACAATGAAGTTTGGACAGCAAATCAGAAAACACTGTCTATGGTGGCTTTAAACTGCATTTTTTAAACCCAGAATGTTATCCAGAGCCATTTTAGGCAACAATATAGCCCAGGTGTAAGCAGCAGGAACTCACAGTCCCTTGGACGTCCCAGCCTCTTATGTGGCAGAGCCACTGCTCATGGAGTGCAACCCCACGGACCCAAAGAGTCAGGGGAAATGCTGAGGGGAGAGGAGGTGAATAGGAGGGAGGGTAGGCGCTAACATGGAACCACACACGCTCCAAGCGTCAGGTTCTCATAGAAGCCACCGCCTGGTGTTTTTACTACCACTTCTCAAGGGCAGCTGTTGTCATCCAAGGACTTTCTCCTGCACTTTCATTATGACGAAATGCTCCTTTTCAAGTTACTTACCGGAATTGGTATCAGCAAACACTGTCATAAACCTCTGTTTCAAGACATGAGTTTCAGTGCAGTCCTGAGTTTCCGGTTTAAGTAATATGTAAAACAAATAGGGCTGCCATCATTTTATATGGCAAGAAATACACAAGAATGAATATACATTATTTTTCAGGAAAACACAATTGCTAATCAATTCAGGAGCTTTCCAGACTACAGGTACGCGAGCCCTTCCTGTGGTGTAGGGCGCCAGTCCCCTGAGGTCTGAAAGAGTCTTCGACGGCAGCGGCGCAGCTCTCTGTGTTTTCTTCCTATTTAAGAAAAAATATAGAACCTGGACATTTAAAACATCATCAATGCAATGATCTGTACAGACTCTCACTGGATCTTTTAGAATTTTGTTAAAAATTGCGAAGGTCATGATGAATACAATCATTGCAGCTACATCATTTGAAAAAGTCATATAAATTATGCTGCTAAAGACAAAAAAACACTGAAACATAAGCATCACAATGTGACACAGCAGTAACTCATAACTATTTAATATGAAAAATTAAATTTAGAAAGTTATGTCAGAGAACTTGGGAATTTTTCACTTTAGCAAAACAATCTATATATCTCCAACTTCTATGATACAATAAAATACTTTTAAAAGATAGGACATTCAAATGCTTCATTTACACCAATATTGCCCACACTAAGAAAAGTGATGCCCTTAAACGTGAACTGCTCTGCATTCTACTTCATCTCATATTCTAGCCCGCAGTCAGCACTACATGTTAGACAATTACGTGCTGACAAATGTAGAGGATCCTGGTCGAAACACTGGTTCCCAAAAGTAACATACATCATATTGCTTGAAACAACCATATAAAAGTGGACATCATCTATGCCAACAGTGACCGTGAGGACAACGGGCACGTGTTTTGGCGGGGCGCAGAGTTCATGATGCTTAATTAAATAAACGCACTCTGACTGAAGCTAGCATGATACGCGGGTGTCTAGGTCAATTACTGCAGTCTCTTAAAGTTATAAAAATATCGTATAAAATACCACAGGCTTTAGAGGGTATAACTTCATGTGGTTCTGATGCTAGCAGCTGAAAAGTGTTTATAATTTAAAAATAAATAAACTATAGAGGTAAACCAGTTACAAAACAGCAGAGGACTACAACAGCCACGAGACTGGACAGAACTGCGTCACTACACAATAGCTAGCAAAACGGTGAGGCAGTTGGATCGAAAGTTTTAAAAACCTCTTTCAGAGACTTGTCATCTGTCTCTCTACTGGGGTCATCGTCGGGGCTGGGGCTTGGCTGTCCTGGCTGCCTTGCCAGTCGTGGGTCGCTGTACTGGGGTCTAATTAAGCCTGTCAACGCCTGGATGGGGAGACTGTGCACGGCGGGGACCTGGCCTGCACAGGAGCTCCTGGGAACATCATTTGCCTGTGGGTCCACCGGCCCATCGACAGTGACTTCCCCATCTGGAGTGCTTTTCTGGAGCAGGATCGCTTCTCCCGGAGAAGGCTCATTTTTGTCACTATTTTCTAAATCACCCCCTTCTCTCTGGTTCTCTGCATTTCCTGCTGCTGGCTCTGGTGGAGGTGATGCACCCTGCTCCCTAGGTTCATACAAACTTATGCCCCTGAGAACTGGACTTGGAGTCCTCAGTGGAAGGCCAGCAGAAGGTGCGAGGTTAGAGGCGTATGGAGGCCCAGCCCCGGGCCCACTGCAGCTGGTTCCTGCCCCAGAAGGCTGTGAGGCACCAGGACCCAGCCTGGCTAAGTGAAGGGTGCTCTGGGATGCATGGGACTCCTTCAGGCCTGCTTGCTGAGACACCGCATTGTGTAGTCTGTGAAGTCTGGGGTCGCACTTTTTGTGCAGTCTGGGGTCTCCTAACTTACTTGTGGGACTGTGCATGTCCCCAAACGGTTCCAGGTAGCTGTCTCTGTTTGTTGTGTTCATTGTGGCTTTGGCTGCTGATTTTGACTCCGCAGATGCTGGGCCGGGATGCAGATCGCCTTTTGCACTCCACAACCTGCTGAGCCTCTGGTCGGCTATCAAAGGGGGCAGCGGTAAGCTGATGGAAGACACAGGGTCAGGCTTCGGTAGAGGGGCTGGGAGCAAGTCTTCGGGGGCCCACACCACGTGCCTGGAGAAGGCAGGCCTGCTGAGGACAATGTCCATTTTGATGTGACTGAACTGCCTCAGCTGCGACCTTGGGTCCTGGAGCACGGCCCCAGGGGCAGGGTCCAGCGGGATCAGGGAAGCCTTCTCTCTCAGCTCCCTCTCTGCGTCCTCCTCTTCCTCTTCACCTCTCCCATGTGTGACTGTGGTGCCAGCCTCTACGTGACCTGAACCACACTTTGCTAGCCCAGCTGAGCAGCCTATGTGCCCACCCCCACTTCCCCGCTGTTTCCTGGGGTCCCACGCAAGCCTAAGGCCCCGGGCAGGAGCCTCACAAGGCTTTCTACTGTCGGGCCTGGGTACAGTCCTCAGGCGGGGGTCCACAGCCGGGCCTCCCTGGCTCTTCTCTTTAGCAAGCCTTGGGTCAGCACGCAGGCCCAGCTCTGAGGGGGCTTGCTGCCGGGTCCTCAGAGTTTCTGTCTGTTTCTGTAGCGTCTTCAGGATGGACCTGACGCCACTTCCTTCTTCCTCCTCGCTACTGGAGTACCAGTTAACGGTGTCATCTAAATGCAGACAGAGACTTGTTACAAAGAATGAAGCATTTGCATCTGGCCTTAAGTAAGACTAAAAACACATACTGTTTCTGAAATAAATGCAGTCTAACTCCAAGAAAGTGTATCATAGAGATGCCAGTTTCAGCCCCAGAATAAGGTAAGAAGTGGTGCGGGACTGATAGAGCCAGTCTTTACACTCCACACAGGATGAGCTGTGACATCAGGACAGAGCAGTGTCCTCAAAGCAGAGACAGTCAGGGCCTTTTGCTCCAACTGGCCATGACAGGTCAGGGAGGGAGACACTCTGGGAAAGAAATACTAAAGCGTTTTGGGTCTTTTTAATTCAAACAACCCTTATGCTCTGGATTTATCAAGACAGTGAGGGAAAGATAAAAAAAAAAAATCTGGAAAGCAAACAAAACCACCACCACGATGGTTTAGGAAGCAATGGAAAGGAGCAAATGAGGGGCAGGCAGAGCCTCTCTGGCATGTTTTCTACAATTCCAGATGTGTGGCCTTTGTGAACACACTAGCTTAAACTGGAAATAGCAAAAAAAGCTAACATCCTAAAGACAGCACACTATGTCACAATGGCAAAGTGTTACTGGTGTCTCAGTGTCTCTCTGGGAAGATGGCTTCTTTCTCCTCTCTGGCCTCCAGAAGCCCAGAGCTGGGCTTGTAACTCACTTTGAATATTTCTGTAGAGTAACTTCACTCTACAGAAATATTTGCTACCTGACCCAAATAGGTAAGATGTTATTTTCTTCTTACTTTCATATCAATATCTTTTGTAAGTGAATAAATCCTTTTTGGAATGAGAATGAATGTGGAACAGAAGGGAAGCAGATGGCAGAGACAGGCCAGCAGAAAGCAGGTATTAGGTAGGAAATGATGATTAGCAGCTTTTTATCAATGGACAGGTAAGATTTGTAAAGGCACTAAAGTTTATAAAAAGAAACACAAACAAAAAAAACCTAGCCAGTAAAGACTTTTCTGTATGGAGAAAATAACCCTCATAAAGCATCCGTAATTGTTTAATATTACAGTATAAAATTTTATACCTAGAAAAGTTTTAATTTTCTTGTTTACAAAAATGTAAAAGCTCTGTAAGACTTTATAGCAAGATTACCAATGAATGGCTGTTTTGTAAAATTAAGTTTTAGCATTTAAAGGAGTAAAGATAAATTGCACAGGGAATAACTCGTCAGGAACCCCTCACTTCCCTGTGGTGGTAAATAAACATAGAGTAATACTACCTTCTATGAAAATATAACAAATAATGTTCACAGAATAGCTTGTAGTTACCTACTATTACCTAGTTTTGTATAGCTATTCATACAATTTAAGTGGACAAGCATATCAATTTTGTAATTCATAACAATGGGTGCTTCAGGCTTTTCTCTTTGACTGAATTACCTAATTGCCATCCATTTATCAAAACACTCAGGTCAATTTAGTGTCGCCACATAATCTTCCATATCAAAAACTGTGTTCTTTCATAATATGGCAGAACCTGACATCACAACCTATGCCCATAAAACTTTCTCTAATAATTGAGTCATCTCAAACTGGGCCTAAAAGTCAAAGTCAAAGTCAAAGTTCCTAAACCAGAAAGCGTCCTAGTGGCCAGTCTGCTGCCCCGGCCTCACAGCACTTGGGCTCCAGGCCTACCCATGACCTCTGCAGCTGACTGCCAAGGTGCCGATGGTCCTGGATGCCACGACTCCAAGAAGACAGGCACTACGAGGCCAACTACAAACAGCAGACAGTTCAGAAGAACTCTGTTCTCAGACTTTGCCCTGGTCAAGACCATTTCAGGGGCTGAGAGACCCAAACGGGTGAGAAGCCATCATAAGGTTAACCTGACACACCTTCCTCCTTGCTTGGTGTCCTCCGAGGCTGGGCGAAGCTTAGTTCCTCATCGTCTTGGTATTTCTGAGTAAGTCTGACAAAAAGAGCTCTCTGCACCGCTGCGGGGAGACCTGGCGCAGGCAGAGGGCGAGGGCCTGTCATGTTGCTGCTGTCATCATATCCACTCCCACCGGGAGGTGAGCCTTGGACAATGGGGGGCTGATGCCGGGCAAAGTCACTATGCCACATCCCATCTATATACACAACACAGGAAGAGACAGGTGCTGATTTAGCACAAAACCCCACTACAGAGAACTATGTTGAGTTATAAGGAATTGAAGCTCTAATAACGGTGACATTTGATTTTCAAGTTACTGTGTAAGCATGCATATTTTAACCCATTTTCCATTTGCCTTGAGAATACTCGCCTGTGGCGCTTGAGGCTGCAGTGTTTAACCCAAGATAACTCGTAGATCACAGTCCTAGCCTCATCCCCATAGTCTACCACGAAATAACTTGTTTTTCTTATTCCTTTTGCATCGCTCTAGTATAGCGATGGACTCTGGAAACAAGTGACATCATTCTATTTATAGCTTTCTGTTTTTAGTAGTGGTATTTCCATTTATGAAAATAGTAATTCCCAATGGCTGAAAATGTCAGATCCTAGAAAACGTGGCATTCCTACCGTGAGGCTAACATTGTGCTCCAACAGCTGTTAGCCAGAGTCATTTGATGAATTTTATTTATGTGTACACTTCTGTTACTTTAGGATTAGAGACAAGTTCTGCTTAGGAATAACTTCAAGAACAGTTTTTATATTTTATTTCACATTGAAAACCATTCAGATTTGCTTCAGCCTCAAAGAGCGTCTATGTAAAATTAAATCAATGCAGGCAGCAAGTGGCACTTTTTTTTTCTAAACGAGAAATGGGTTAAGAAGTTACCTAGCGCACTGTTACAAATGTTTGGCTAAATTTAAAACATATTTTAAGGTCTTGATTTCATCACATTTTACCTCGCTTTATTTAAAACATACACTCTTACCACATTTTCAATGACAAGTAGGACTCAATACTTTAAATCAGAACCGGGCTGCTTCCAGAGGTAAACTCACCGCCGGAGTTGCCAGGTGTGTGCAGACTCTGCGCTGTGCCCTGCGGGTGGCAGCCTTCATAGAACTCAGCGGGGCTCTGCAGGGGCTCGAAGCCTGCACTGGGCGGCCCCTCATTGGGCCCTTGCAGGTGAGACAGTGCGCGGTGGTTCTCCCCCGGTGTGCTTGCCATGCGCTCTGTAAGGCCGGGGCCCTGGTAAGGACCACACAGACCTGGCGCTGTCAAAGGTGCCTCCGGCTGAATGAGGACTCCGGGTTGGCTGTGAGGTCCCCCAAGTCCAGGTGGGCCAGGCGGCAAAGGTGGGCTCCATCCGGCACACGGATGATGTCCAGGGGAGCCTGGGTGCGCCACAGGGCTCTTGTGTCCCTGTGACACAGTAGGCCCAGGGCCTGGACTGGACCCGGAACTACAGATATGCTGAGGGTGGGGACTGCCTTCCTGAAATTGTGGAGCTGGTGGTGAGGCACTGCTATAAAAGGCTGGTGGCCTGCAGATGGAAAGGATACCATTTCTTAGTGCCAAGGAGAGAGGCAAACAAGAGCGCCTCATTTCTAGATACACTGGTTTCTTGTGTTTTTCTCAGTCAGAGCAGACTCCTGTTTCTACGCAGCAGTCTCTGGGTGCCCTATAAGGAAACACCAGCACCCACGCCTGCCTCCCTTTAGCTGTTTTCTTGACTGTATTCTCAGCTGTTCTAAAACTTACTCATTACTGACACCTTGAAAAACACAGAAAAGGGCAAAGATGGATAAGAATCCCCTCCAACCCTACCACCCAGAGACAGGTGTTTTGCGGGCTCTCCTAGAGCTGCCACCTAGGGTGGTGTTAGGGGTCCCGAGATGAAGCAATGGCCATGGTGGGGCAGAGGCAGGGACCAGGAAGTGAGGAGGTGATGGCGGTGCCAGATCGCTGCTGTCTCCATGAAACTTAAAGACCAGAGTAATGTGGGCACGAGTTCATTCCCTAAGGACAATCTCAAGGGGACAAAGTGCCGCCATTTGTGAAAAACCTTAACTTACTTCTTCCCAATCTTATGCGCTAAATCCACAGTGGGCTTTACAACTATTTCAAAGAGAGATGGAATTTTCTTGAAATCCTCTGAGAGCTCAGTCTGGAAGTCGTCGTCGGGGTCGACGCAGGGGCCATGCTCGGCTGGGGTGGGCAGGAGCCCCACGCCTGGGGGCGGCTTGGGCAGAGGAGCTATGCCGTGCCTGCGGAGCTCCGCCAGCTCCCGTTCATCCTCGCTTGCACGCCCCTCCTCCGCCTTCAACACCTGAATGCAACGGGCAAAGGTGACTATGTTAGAGCACACTTTCCTCTCCACATCCAAAGCTGTGAAGACTTTGGCCAACTGGCTTCCTTCACAGGAAAACGTAAGTTGAAAGGGGTTGTAGACAGCTAACTCGGTTTTGATCAAGAGCATGAGGTTCAAAGAAGAATAAGATATTTCTCAAAGCAAATTAGCTTTCTAACATCGCAAGTATTAATAAAAGATTCTCAATTCCCAGCCTGATATTTCTGCGTTTCTAATACACTGTATTAATGAAACATTAAATGACCAGTCCTTGACTGCTCAGTAGTTTGATAAAATAAGATTTAGAAACTATGATCCAAGGCAACTGACTCTGTAGAGAGCTAACAAGTAATGGAGGTGCAGAGGGATCACTCACTTTGTCCAAAAGTTTCCTCGTTTCTTTAGTAAGGTCATCATGTGAAAATTTACACTTGTCTCCTTGGTAACATTTTGCTCCACTGTGATAGAACTTGCATGGAAATTCATGTAAATAAAATTATTAAGGAACAGACCAAACAAAATCAAACTCTAATATTTTAAACCAAAAAACATAACTCTGTTGAATCCATAAAATTGTATTGCCTGTACTGAATTTCCTATCATCACATCAGATAATTTATTTCAAGATCAAATATCTTAGTTATATAGCAAAATATTCAGAATAATTTTAAATCTCTTACTCTATTAAAACTAGAAAACCTTTTAAAGAAAAAACATTTATAGTGGTTATAGCAAATACTATATAGTATTTTAACTATGAAAACCCTATTACTTTCCATAATGAAATAAAATACTACACAGAACAAATAAGTGTAGCAAGTGCTTACACCTATGAAGAAAATGATAGGCTTGGTACATCATGATAACCCCACTGTAGGAGCTACTGACTAATCTTACTTAAGGTTTTGGAGACAAACTTCTAAAGAAAATATTAAACCTAGAAGCACAGTGACAAATACACCATTTTCAGGTGGTGTATGTTCAGGGATTTCCTGGGTGGTTTTAGGCGCTTTATTACTGCAATCATCACACTTATAAGGGCAAAAGAGGAAAATCATACAATCTTCTTAGCAACTGCAAAAGGCAACTGAGAAAACTCAAAATCCTCTTGTGATTTAAAAAACTCTTAGGAAAATAAGAATATATTTAACTTGATTAAAAAAAAAACTACAGCCACAAGCCCAAGCAAAAGTGTGTTATTTTCAAAGCGTGTATTACATCTGCCACGATCAGTATTATTTAACATTATTCTGGACGTGTAGCCAATATAATTAAAATTAAATAGGAAGTATAAATTATTATTATTTACTGATGGTATGACTCTGAGGAAAAAAAAAACAGACTGAAAGCTTTTGAAAAATTCAATAAGGTGTCTGACTTTTAAAGAAATATATCACATCTGAAAAAAATGTTATTTCTTTTTCCTGAATCTCTCTGAAGTCCCTTTACTGACCTATAGGAGGTCTCCTACCTTCTAACATTTTGATGAAGAAAGGAGGATTCTCTGCCCTACTAAATATCAAATGTACTCTTACAAAGAGTAATGATCAAATGCACCTAGTCTAACAGGTCTAGAGGCAGAATTGTGTGCCCAGGAAATTCAGGCTCTTCTGTTCACGATGACATTTTAATCAGTGAAGATGAGACAATAAGTTAACCATTTGGGAAAAAAACAAGCTTCTTACTGCACCTCATATATTAAAATAGACTATATAAATTAAAGATGTAAATGTTAAATAAAAATATATAATTTTACAGTCCTGGCTGGATCATATTTTTATAAAGAATTGTGTGTAGAAATAGGTAGACATGTACACATCTCCTCACATATTCGCCCCCTAGCATTGGACATTACCCGAAAGACTTTAAGCCATGTTGTTAGCATGGCTATTCCTGAAAATGAGATTACTCAGGGTTTTTAAAAAAGTCAGTATGAAAATTATCAAATACACACCAAAGCAGAGAGAATAACATGGTGAACTCCCTCCCTCATGTGGGCTACCTGAGCTCAACAATGTTCATCGCCTGACAATTCTGTGACACTCTCCTCACAACTCCCCTTGAAAGACACGTGGGGGTTGCAAAGCACATCCCAAATACATTTAACCTGTAAATATCTCCATATTCATTACAAACAAATAAGGAATAATTTTAACAAAAACCTTATCATTAATCTGAAAAATTAATACATACATTTTACCTACTACTCTGTCAGTACACAAATTTCTCAGGCCATTTCCAAAAAATGTCTTTTTATAATTACCTTGTTCAGATCAGGGGCCAAACACAACCCACAAATGGCATCTAGCTAACATCTCTCTCAAGTCCCTTTACTGACCTATAGGAAGTCTCCTACCCTTCTACTTTCTATCATTTATCTGTTAATTTTAATATTTTCATAGGTGTTGAACACTCCCTACTACTGCACCACGCTAGAAGTATTTAATGTCCGGTTGTTTTTTTAGTGCTGAGGCTGATCAGTTGGTGCAGGTGTCATCAGTCCGATTCATCAATTATAAAGTTTCTCACTGACTTTTCACCTAAGGATTTTAGTTAGCAGCTGTCCTTAACGCTGCCCAGACCCATTAATTCATCAGAATGTGCAAATGGCAGGATTGTGCGCTTCTGCTAGACGCTGCCACACTCCCTCCACCAGGGTGCAGCCTCTTGCATTCCCGCCAACAAGGTCTGAGTGTAATTTACTTTTTCACAGCACTGCTAACAAATTTTGCTGTCATATTTAAATTTTTTTGGATTTCTGCAAATCTGATAGCTGCAAATGGTATCTCTGGGCATCGATTAAATTGCATTTCTCTTATTAGGAGGAGGATTGAGCATCTTTTAACATGTTTTAGGGCCATCTGCATTTCTCTTTTTGTGAATCATCTCTATCTTTTGTCCCAGTTTTCTTCTCGATTTTTAGAAACTCATACATTAAGCTGTTACCTTCCTGTAAGTGATATAAGTTGCAAACAACTTTTCCCATTTTATTATTTACTTTTTACTTTGCTTGTGACATATTTTTGTTATGCAAATTTTAAGATTTTTTTAGGCAAATTTTCAATCTTTTCTTTTATGTTTCTGGATTTTAAGTCATACTTGGAAAAGTTATAGAAAAGCCCACCTATGTACTCCTCTGATATTTGTATGGTTTTGTTTTTACATTAGGTCTATGGTTACAGGGATTTTTTTACCTTCTTTTTTATATTATTTTTTCAAACTAGACAAGACTATTTTAAAATGTTTCTGGAAAAATAAATGTGAGAATCTTCCAAGTATCACAATGTGCTGGTGAGACAGAAACAATCACAGCAAAGCAACACAGACATGAGGGCAAACAGACCCACAGAGCCAAACACAAAGTCTGGAACAAAAATGTGCATATAACATTTCTTCATGATAATGATGGAGTTTCAGATGGGGTGGGGGTTGGGGGAGGCTCCATTAGTCATGAATGGTAGTGAGTAACCAGCTAGACATTTGGGGGTAGGGGATTCATATAGAAAGATACATTCTGCACATATTTTTAAAGGACTACAGACATATAGTGAGATATCAATTTGGGTGGGAGCAAGAGTACTTAAAATGTACAGATTTCCTAAGAAAGAATATACAGTGTTTATCATCAGGTAAGATTTAATGAGACTTTGGTTTTATAATATTCAACAATGATAATTTATTACTTATGAACCTAAAATAATTAAGTCATAAATATTGTGTCAACTACTCTTTCAGGAAGCACAGTCTCTTGAAATACTTATAAGCTAAATACATTAAATAAATATAAAGTACCTTTATTTCATAGATTTTTTTCCAAAGGGAAGTTATTTCATTTCCCTAAAGAATAAAACTCAGTTTGCCCTTTGGAAGTACAAAGGCTGACTTGACCTGGTTGATGTAATGTGCTATTTTAATTTAAAAACAAACTAGGCTTTCTAGGTTGTACTTATGATTTTTAAAACCTTCAAAGATGCTTTCAAACGTCAATATTTTGGTTAACTATTTCCAATAAAGGATATTATGCATATAAATGCAGTTCTCTCCTTTGGTACAATATCCTTGTAAATAAAATTTGCAGATCTCTTTTCTCTTCTCCAACTCTGCATCGTGATCAAATTTACATTGGTCTCCCTGTTCACAAAAAGAAAAAAAAAGAAGAAAAAAAGAAATCACTGAATGTTCTCTGTGGCATTTCACAGTGTAACTATGGTTGATTATGAGCTAAATGATAAGCTAATAATTTAATGATAAGCTAATAATAATTCAAACATTAATGTTGAGCTAATAATAATTCAAACATTCCTTAGAGTCCGTGCCCAAGATGCTGGGCATGGCTCTGTGCAGAGGCAGAGCAGTGAGGTCACCTCAAAGGACTCTCCCTAGGTCCTCCTTCACTCACCATGTCCAGCTGAGTTACTGTGGGGACTTATTTAACCCCCTGGTGTGGCCACGTTTATAATGGGGACAATAAAGACTAAAACATTTAATACTAGTAATCCACTCCTAACAAGATGTGCCACATAGTCAGCACTGCATTTTTAAAAAAAAAAACCAACTCGATTTCTACAAATTATATTGTTGTCCCAGAATATAATTAAATGAGTGTAGAGTATTTCCATGCAAGACACATGAATTTACCTTAATGCATCTCCCTTCCAGGAAGTATTTACAGATTTGTTTTCCTTTGTGTTCCACCGTGTGCTGATTAATAAATTCCTGAGTCATAACCTTCCATTTTTTCCCTGGTTTATTATACTGAAAGAAAAAGTTTCATTTAAATGCAACATACGAAACATTAAATAGGTATTAAAATGTACAGTCAAATGGACCTGGAAAGCAGGACAAAGCAACTATTCCAAGTGGTTAAGACTGGACATTCTGAAGCTGTTCATTTATTTGGAAGGAGATTTGTTTCTAGAAAAACTGTTTATTGCTACTAGTGGTTGCAAAGAACCCTATTTCTATTTTAATGAGGATGCATAACTACATTTAAAATAAAATTATGAAAAGCTAGATAATGAACAATACTCAATTTTGGCAAAGAACAATAAAATATGCACTCTATGTACTGCTGATAGATATGAAAGATTTAAAATATCCATATTATACGACACAGAATTTGTACTTTTTAGGATTATTCTTAAGGAATTATTGGGGAGGCACACAAAGATTTATTCATAAAAATAACTACTGCGGCATTACTTACATAGTTAAAAAAAAAAAAAAAAAAGAACACCAAACAAATGAAAAACCTGGAAACACTCCACAGACCCCAGACTAGGAGACAAGTCAAACACGTGACACATTTGGGTGGTAGAATATTATGCAGTTATTAAAAGTCATGGGATGGAAAGACAATTTGGGGACATTAAAAAATGTATACGATACTTTACTAAGTGAACTTTACTGATCCCAATTTTATAATACAAATTTTCAAAAAGACTCAAAAGAATATATCCCCACACTTGACAGTATATGTCTCTAGATGCATCTCTTAAAAATTAGAGGTTTTTTGTAGGTGTGGTTATTTTGTACTTTCTTTAGGGGGGAAAAAAAACCCCATAGAGGATGTATTACCTTTACCTTTTAAATTAAAAAAAAATTAAGAGGAAAATTTCACAGCCTGCTTGTCCCCCTTGGTCCTCAGTCACCGGGTCTGGTACTAGGCGGTGCTCCCACCCGTCTCCTAGCCCCATGGAGTACTATTTATTCTTCAAGCACCCAGCAGGCATGTGCCTGGCACACCAGAGCTGCACGGGGAACACTTGCTCTTCCAATTTGATTCCAGTGTTCCCTTCTCCCTCAATCTGCCACAGGATGGAGAACAAAGCAGAACCCACTGGACATCGGAAACGACCCCACTGCAAGTGGTTGGGCTAGACTTAAATCTGACACTCGGTGCTCACAGCTGAATGTGTATTTTACTATAAGAATTCTTTTAAAAAGCATGAGAATACCAAGAGAACAGATAATCCTAGAGGTTCTTTTAAAAATATATCTAAACTGCCCAGCAAAATACAATGACATTGCTTATACTACACTCTGACAGGGCCATTTAAAGTGCCTTAAGTCTCTGTAAATGTGACTTACAAACATTTTTACTTCTAGGCTCACTCAGAACAAGCAGGTATAAATGACCAGCTCATACACGCTTTCCGTACAAAGAATCATGGCTGTAATCATACACGCAGCCAAAGAGAGGTCATTATGCAAAGTCAGTGAGCCAGCTTGAGAAATATAACTCTGAAATTAAAAAGTAAAAGTATTAATCACTCTCTCTCTCTCTCTCTCTCTCTCTCTCACACACACACCCCTAAAAATTTACCAAGTAGTACCTATGTTGTACTAATAACTCATTCCTTCTGTCTGTCTGTGCCACTTTCTAATGACATGCCTCGATGTTTTAACAGAGGATTGTGGGGGGGTTTGTTTTGTTTTTTAGGTTAGTTCTGTCTCAATGAGTAAAAAGTATCTCGGTACCCATAACTATGGGGAACCGAACCACAGCCAAGGTATTCTAGAGCATCCAAGCAACTTTAATGAATAAGATGTCAGAACAAAATAAAGTGCCTAGAAAATCCGATCTTTCAAGTCTGAGCCTGGAGGAGAACTGCAGATGTCTCCTAACCACAAGTAAGCTGGAAGAACCACAGCCCAATCTGGGTCACCACCTTCACTGGACAAATGCAAACACAGCAGCAGTTAGTGATTTCCCAGAAGTCACATGGTGCGTTAGCACAGTCAGATGGAGCTCTGCTCAAAGAAAACACAACTCAGAAGAGAGAGAAAGATGAGGGAAGGAGGGAGAATCCCACCACCTACTTGGCCATTTAATTTATTTACTCTAGAGCAGCAGTCTCCAAATTCTTAGGCACCAGGGATCGGGACTCCTATGAGAGTCTAACGCCTGATGATCTGAGGTGGAGCTGAGATGGTGATGCAAGTGCTGGGGAGTGGCTGCAAATCCAGATGAAGCATCACCTGCTAGCCCAATGCTCACCTCCTACTGTGCAGCCCAGTTCCTAACAGGCCACAGACCAGTACTGGTCCACAGCCTGGGGGTGGGGGACCCCTGCTCTAGAGGATACATTACATTGGTACAAGGGCAAGAACATAAAAGAATTTTTAAATTTTGTATGGAAGAGGAAATGGAAGGACCTACCAGGAAAAGAATATGTCTTTACAGAAAATTTAATAGCTACTATAAAGACAAAAACATGTTAAGCGTTCCATGGCCAACAGAATTAATAAGTCTTTAGAACCTATGAAAAGATTGTGTATTGTGTGACTACCCTCCAGTTTCTAAGAACATGGTGTGGACGAGCAGGCAGCCCTGAAAGGATGGGATGGCACTGGCCCTGAGCTGGCCACTTGGTATGGCTACCAGGCCTGGGCAGCTGCCCAGACCCTCCCCAATGCGCTGCTGCCTGGTCTCTGGCCCCTGCATGTTTCCGGAATCACAAGAAGAACCCTCTTGTGACAGCCAATAAACAACAAAGTCACAAAGTTGAGAACATAATTTAATCTTGATTAAAAAAAAGAGAAAATAGCCTAAAGCTGACGAATGCAAAAGGAGAATATCCTCTAATTTTTTATGACATGATAAAGGATCTTTTAGTTGCAGCCCAGATCTACAAGCATCTGAACCGTGAGTGCCTAAAAGGGCCCTCGGAGGTAATTTAGCACTGCATGTCCTCTCATTTCACTGACGAGCAGGTAGTGCCCTGCCGGGAGCCCAGCTCTCCTCGAAGTGGCAGGTGCAAGTCAAGGCTCACAGGAAAGCCCATGCTAGTCTGCTCCATGGGAGCAGCACACCCAGGGGTCTGCACTGTAAGACCAAGTCACGGAGGATGCTACTCCATTGCCCTCAAACAAGGTTACAGCTTTTCACCTAGCCTCGCTCTGCAAATTCAGTCACCTCACTGGAAATGCAGCCAAACAGAACCGGAACACTCTAATCCAGAAAGGCACGAAAAGGTCAACGCGTACCAGGCAAGTTCAAGTCAACACATGTTCACTCAGTATCTGCCGAATGTGTGATTCATAGCTTCATCTTTCAAACTATTTCCATCTCCTCTTTCTCTCCTTCAATGCTTTCCATTCTAATACTAAATTAATTCACCACCATCTCCCTCCTTGGCCATCAGCATCAGGAAAGGTGATGCTCACAGAAGGAAAGCACACAGGACCAAGGACGTTTTCTGCTTCGGTCATCACTTCTGTTTGAGGTGCTTTCAGACACACCGATTTTACTTCAAAGTCACCTAAATTTTCACTTCTATACTAGTATCATGATTAATTCAAACAATAATTCTGTTTTTGGAATTTATTTATACTCATTTGATCTAATGGGAAGTTTTTCATTTACTAGGAAAGTGGCATTAAAATCGTAGTGCTTCCCTTATAGCCAGATGGGTTGAAAGACAGAGAGGTCCCTCTCCTCGTGTATAAACTCTCTGTACCTCTTGAAAGTCGTCCATTCCTGAAAACACACCAGGACCTTTGCTGGCTCGGCCCCCACGGTCTCTGCGTTTGATTTTCTTCGGCAAACCTCGTCCACGACCAACATTAAAACTTTTAACTCTCTGTTCAATACCTAAAAAAGTTAACATGTACTTAGAATATTATAGAAAAACAGCACACCTACCAATATATTAGTTTATAGGGAACAGTTCATTTTAAATAATCTATGGTGTACACAGCATTCTTTTCTTCCTCCTCTAGATTCAATGAAAAAAATTTATTCTGTGTTTATATTTTTCTTTCTTGGCATTGATTCTTATTGTTTGTACTTTAAAGGATGTCAGCAACATAAGGAAGGAAAGAAGCAAGGGTATACATGGCTGGAGAAGTCAAATCTCGTTTCGTTCTTTTCAACTTTCCTTAGAATAAACGATTAACAAAGCTTTCTATTGTTAAGAGAATTTTTATATTCATCTCTAAGGAGAACACTATAGGTATTAGTGGTTAATTTATAGCAAAATAAGTTTCTATTGATAATTTTGAGTAGATAACACATATATATATCCCAAGTAAAATTTATACTTGTTTTTAACTTTTGAAAAACTTGGTATTTAAAAGTATCTAAAAAGATACCCAAATAACAAAAATTAGGTATTAAGGTAGGGAGTTACAATTTAAAGTGATTTCTCATTTTACCAAGTCATGTTGATTGAACTAATAAGTTTTCTAATGATTTTAAACCTAAAAAAACAGTCAATAAATATATGAGAAAAAATGTTTCACCTCATTAAAATAAATCGAAGAAAATAAAATTAAATAATAACAAACCAATTTTCACTTCAAAGAATAGTACTCGTAGGGATTTAGAGAGTTTGGTTTTTTCACATCCTGGTAGAGGTGTTATAAACCAGCATACCACCTTTTTAGATAGCAACTTGGTATATGATTCAGGTATCTTCAAATATGTAGCTATGTCTTTTGACTCAATTCTATGTGTCAGAATTTCTTAAGAAAAATGTTTGCTACTATGTTTTTTGAGATATGTATAAACATACAGGGTAAATCATAGAAAATTTTAAAAAACCGGGTGTAACTTAAATCTCAAATAACTATTATTAAACAAACCTCATAATCTTATGGTATATCTGTTTAAGTCAATAGGATGCAGGTATTAAAAGCTACTCATTAACGTAAAAATGACTGAGCTACAGTTCAAAATTAAGGGGGAAAAACATTACAACAGTATGCATAGTTTTTTTGTTAAAAATAATTATCAGAAAAATTCTGAAAGAATGTCTACTAAAAATGTAACTAGTCATTATCTATGGATGTAGGGATTCAAACTATTTTGTTTTACCTTTGATCTCTGCTGTGTTATCTTTTCTACACATAGAAAAAGTTTTCTGCATTTGACCATATATTACTTTCATAATCCAAGGGGAAAATGATTGTCAGAAATGAAATGCAGCACTCAGTTCCTTAGCAGAACAAACAGGAAGCGCCTGAAAGGAAAAACCCCAGGTGGGAGGGACTAGCAGGCCTCTCCACCCACGTGGAATGGGCCCTACACCCTGTCTAGACCCCAGGAACAAACCCATAATTGCAGGAGCAGATGCACAAATTCCTTTCTCTTTAGTTCAGCAAAGTCTAGAGTTGTATTTTCAAATGAATTTTGCTAGGAAATCAAGAAAAAAAATAAGCCAAAAGAATAATCAAATTCTTCCTCTTCTCAACGATAGTTAAAGCCTGGTTTTGCAGGCTTTGGATGCCCAGAGTTTAACCCTGGCTTCATTTTGTGCCAGTGCTCCTGAAGCAGACACACTGACTGGACAATCCTTAAGGTTGATCTGACCCTTATGTGACCCACAGTTTCTGTGGCAACTTGCCCTGGTATCTCCAGAGACCATGTGCCTCAATACAGTAGATGAATAGTGGTGACTCTAGAAGTTTCTCTGGATTATGTTCTTATTTCAAACCCTGAAGGATGTCCATAGGCCTAAGTACACTTGTATAGCAGAGGTAACTGTCACATTTTAAAGGGTAATTAAAGAATAGCCTCCCAGAATTCTGTCCTCTTAGGTCTAAAATATATAAATACACAGTAACAGAGACAACAGGAAAAGGTAGGTTACTCTTTTATCAGTCTACTGATATCGTATGAAAGGAAGGGGAAAATATAGCAGGAAAGTTATTTTACATTTTTATATAATTTTTAAATATTAGGATGTCTTTCTAATTCAACTATTAGGATATCATGTAGATTTAAATATTTGTAGATTTTTATCCTCAAGGTTTACAAAATGAATAAAAACAAAGTCAGGAACCAGAAGAATAAGCTGATCTTGAGAAAAGGCTAAGAAATTTAAATTTTCAACCCACAGCTACCTGTTTTAATAAGGTAGGTTCTCATATTCAAAAACAGCCTGACAGTTTCAAACCTACCTTGCTGAATTCCTTTCATTCTTTGTTTTTTCCCTGGTTCTTTACAAAATGAAGATCCCAGAGCAGCGTGGGAGGGTTCTTTGGCTTGCCTGTACTGTTTCATCTGACTGGCGAACTCTTCCTCTGCTTCCTGACTGTAGGTACCAAAGTTGTCATCGCTGTAGGCACTGTACTCACCATATTCCTTATTTTTAAATTTTTTGTTATGTTGACTCCTCCTTGATGTCATGTAGCTTCCTGATACATGTCCACGCTAAGTGAAAACAGACACTCATTGTCAGGACTTTTCAGTTATACACGGGAGTTGACAGTGACAGAGGACATTGTTTCTCCCCCAGAAAGTTGGGAGAAAGAAGGAGAAAAAAGGAGAAAGTCTGCCTCTGGGTAACTACTTATCTAGGACACTTTTTAAAACTAATTTCAATAAGTAAATGCTGTTCTGACATATCTAATTCCATAATGTTCACAGATCCTTGCTGGTGAGTATTTTATTCACTTCTTGTTTCAATGTCCCATGTCTCAATCTCCATATACACAGGACACTTAAAAATCCATACCATTGAATGTGAATTCCTCCTCCCAAAACAGCAAGTGTCTTTTTGAAAATAAGAAAATGATAGTAAAAGAGCTTGCGGGGATTAACATTGAAAAATTTCCAAATGGCATGTTTAAGCATATTATAATTAATTTAAAAAACTATATATTTGGAAATTTTTCTAAAAAGAAAATGTTTATATCTGAGGTCTAATATCAAATATAGAGATTTCCCTAGAAATAAAAAACAGCTTGTAAATAAATTGCTCATTAGGAACTATTTATTATAACATACATTATTAATTTTATTGCTTCTTTATGAAAGCATGTACAAACAAGAAACATACTTTACTCCTAGAAGTTTATTTAATGACAGTATTCAAGTCTATCTCTACTCACTAAAATATTTGAATTAGTTCTATCAAATCTTCTGTCAATTTTTTATAAAAAAGCAAAAGCACATAATTACAACGTGAGGCTCTAGAAAAACCCAGGCCATGATTCATCTTCGGCTTGGTACACTTTAAACGTGATGTAAAAATACTGCCCTGCAGAATCCCTACATGAGATTATGTGTTTTTAATAAAATGCAGAGAAATATTAAGTTGCTTTCAGTAATTATAAAATACAGAAAACTATATAATTAAAAGAATCAAGAAAACCAATTAGCTCATCACTTTTAAATTTTGAAGACATTGTATTATATTTCTGATTTGTTTTAAGCAGCATTTTTAAAGTTTTTAGTGTTCTCAGTCTAGCACGTCATAAACTTAGATAGAAATTTACAATTGTAGCACAAGGCAGTGTTTACGCTGTTTTTTAAAAAGCTACCATGAAAATAAAACAAAAAATAATTGCTTAGAGTATGTTGAAGATTAATTAGTTGAGTACTTACTTTTCCTTTTATAAAAAACGTGATTATATTAATGCTTCAGTGATATATTTCAATGCTTTATGAATAAAGATTACTGTTAATGGGCATGATTTTTCTCTAGAGATAAGATGCTTGTCACAAAAGCTTTTAATTCTGTATATTAATTCCATCCTCTAATTTTTTACAGCCTTTACAAACAATCTCCATATTCCTACTTCTAAAAATAGAATTATCCCAACTTTCAATTTATCTCCTACCCAGCCTTCTCAACTGCAGATTTTCCAAAGCCCTCTCATGACACAGACTTGCCCAGGGCGCCCAGCTGCAGTGGCAGACTACCGCCACTTGCTGAGGGCAGGCTGCGTCAGGGTCGGAGTCCCGCTAGGGAATAAGCGCCGAAGCACTGGACTGCAGCAGGTCACAGCAGCCCGTTAGTGCTCTACAATGTCTCCCGAGCGACACACACTTGTCACTTGGAGCAAACAAAACACACGCACCAGCAAAGATCTGGCGAGTATTTTCTAAAACTATCCGGAAAGAAGGTAAAAAATGAAAAGACTGTAAATTCTACCCCCAGAGATAGTGTCTCTGACAACTGTACTGCCTGGTCATTAGGCCACATCCACTGCTACCATGTCTGTGGGGTGGATTTGGTTTCTATCAACCAGGAGCTGGCCCCAGGCAATCTCTGCAAACATGCAGCATGGGACCAGGAGGCCTGGACAAGGTGAGGAAGGGAGATGGGCTAAATTCTCTAGCTTAATAGCTAGATGTCAGTACTGAAGTTTTATAGCTGATACCTGTTATTTAAGAAAATGAGACTTTTAGGATGTGATAAGGCATTTTCTAACCCTAGTGAGTCGGCTCTAAAACACACGTGGGGAAATGGTGCTACACTTTCTCTCCCCCGAATAGCAGACTACGGAATCCAATCTGAGTGGTCCTCCTCAGAAGAAATGTAGCCGAGACAGACAGATGCTATTTGTAGCCATCAGAGAGCCGACAATCAGGAAGGCTAATGGGGCCTGATCCACGATCCACAGAGCGAGGCGAGTCCCTAGAGCGAGCACATCCGCAGCAGGCACTACTCTGAGAGCCTCAGCCCATCGCGCAGATCGGCAAGGTCCAGCAGCACCTCCGATTGCCCCTTTAATCTCTGGGAACACCACGAGATGCCTTAGCAACCCCCACCTACTCATTTAGGGGGAATCTCAAAGTGGAGGCTACAGTCATCCGGGTGGCCCAGAAAAGTCTCAAATCCGGATGCTGGGAAAAGACTGGAAGGTCACTATGGACCTGACAGGAGCAAGTGGATACTCCCCTAGTAGGGGACGAATGCCACCTGGGCCCCAGACTAGTTCTTTGATGTGTACCATGTTTTACAAATACAATCCTCAGACACAATGCAAAAACAAACAAAAGCCCACACATAAGAGACAAGACCTCACGAAAGAGAACCACAAAAGCCAACAGTTAACAGGAATATGGACTCTAGATATTGGAATTAACTGATACAGATTTAAAAATATCTGTGCTTACTATTTTCAGAGAAAGGACATTAGAATTTCAGCAGAGAACTTAAAACTATAACCTTATTTTGATGACTTTGAAAGGAATCAAATAAATTTCTAGATGTGAAAAATACAAATACTGAAAAATGAAGAACCTAGCAGATGGGTTTAAAGGTCAATCAGATCGTCTGAAAACAAGAGGAGCGAGATGAAGGATAAAGCAAAGCACCTAAGATGCTCACCATAGGGGCCTGCATGGGAGACGCATGGGGTGCCATGCTGGCAAACTTTCTGTAAGTCCTTCAGACAAAATAGTTATTCAAAATAAGAGTGAAATAAACAATTTACCAACAAATAAAAGCTGGGAGAATTTCTTGACAGCAAACCCACACTACAAGAAAAGCTAATAAAAGACTAAATAAAGTACTTCAGATTAAAAGAAAGTGATACTAGGTTGAAACTCAGATCTACAGGAAGAAACAGAGAGCAATGGAAGTGAAACGCGGGTATGTATAAAAGAGCATCCTTTTTCTTAAGTTAACTGAATTTTTTTTAACAAAAACAATTACATTGCATCTGTGAGGCTACATGGTGGTCAACATAATGACCGCAATAAATAACTGTGATGTTTAAGCAAAAGAGAGTCACTTAAAACAAACGTGCTGTTTGCACATACAGACTGACCCTACCTCCTCTTTCGGAGTTACTTTTAGTGACAACTTAGAAATCAAGAGCTCAGAAATCTCATTACTCGATATTTTCAGATTTTATTCATTTCATTGCTTGATATTATCCAAAGTAGCGATGCCCATCCTGACCATTTTTTTCATTCATCGTAACAGTTTCCCAATGACTTTAGACTGTTTCTAAAAAGTAAATCGAACCGCAAATGATGAAATTTAGGTACCACATCAGTGTTTGCTGAATAGAACTAATTTAAAAATTTGTCATTAGTGATAAAAATGATTCTAATAGCTGTTAAAACCTTCTGAGAAATGGCAGTTCCATTCACTTCAAAATCAAAGGACACATTGAGTAAATACATATATGTATTCTAATATGCACTTGAAATAAAATTATCAACTAGAGTTGAGTCTTCTCAAATTTTCTAAGACAAAATCTGTTTATTCGATGGCCACTTACTGAGCAACCTCAACTGCAAAAACGGCAGTGGAACAATAAAAGGCAGCATAAAGAAGTCCAACAGACACCGGGACGTGGTGGAACATGTGGTGGGATAGCACTCAGCCTTGAAAAGGCAGGAAGTGCCGGCACACGCCACCAAACGGATAGGCCCTGAAAAAAGCTATGATAAGTGTAGTAGGCCACACAAAAAAGGGCCAAATCCTCTATGGTTCCACCTGTTTGAGGTCCTTTGAGATGGCAAGTTCATAGAGACAGCAACTACAACAGTGGTGACCAGGGGCTGAGGAGGGGATGCGGTGCTATTGCTTACTAGGGACACGGCTTCTGTTTGGAGTGATGAGAAAGTTCTGGAGGTAGATGGCGGTGATGGCTGGCTGCACAACACTGTAAATGTGCTCAGTGCCACTGAACTGTTATGTTTTAAAATAGTTAAAATGGTAAATTTGATGTTATGTGTATTTTTATCACAATAAAAAAGGCAATACCTGAGGAAATGGAATGTCATACTCCCTGTAGAAACCAGTTCTTTTTTTGTGGGAACTTTCTGTGTGCTCAACATCTGAGTCAAGGCTGTAGTCTGAACTATCATCGCTGGATGGAGAATTATGCTAAAAGAAGGAAAAACAAAGAGGTTACATTTGCAAAAGGAAGAAAATCTAACTAGTAACTAGGTAAGCCTGCTTCAGCCAGAGGTGCCAGGTGATCGATCATCTTATCCAACAGGTTTGTAAGTGTTAACTGGAAGCTTCCTGCTCTAGAGGCCACCAGTACCCCAACTTCTCTAAACACCTCTGAGAAAAAGGGTACCTCGTCACCCCTGTGGCCCAGGGATGTCACACAAAAAACACGGCGCATCTGTGCACTTTCACTTAATATTACAGGTAAACATTGTGTTACTGTAAAATCTTCCAAAGTATCATTTAAATTGGTTGCTATGTACTATCTTCAGTAAATCACCCTCTCCCTATTGGATGTGGAGGTGTTTGTGGTCAGTTCTGAAGGAGAGGAAGGAACTAGCTAGCTGGCCAAAGAGACACCGAGAATACAAAAGCAAAACGTGTGAAAAGGATGGTATGGTGCGGGAAGTCTAATTTTCTTGGGAGTACATAGCTTTTACCTTGGGGAAAAAAAATTGATTATTTTTTTTGGACTGTATTCAAAGACTCGTGAAGTTTTTTTCTGACTTCTTGAATTACTGAGTAGATGCTCTTCAAGCATTTTTCAGAAACACGCTGCCTGCTGCTTGGGACATTTGCAAGGTGGTAGGACCCCCCAACCCCCCGCCCCGCCCCCGCCTTGATGCAGGCTGCTCTGCCCTGCCCTAAGTGCCCAAGGCTCTGTCCTCTCCTGTTCCCTTGAGAGACCACTCTGTGAAAGCTTCAGTTCTCACTGAACTTTTAAAACCACTCCCAGGAATACATCCTAATGGTAACTTCTTCCCGCCTCCCTCCGCCCCCCCACACCCCTGCCCCTCCAGACAGTCCATTTCGGCCTCAAACTCATTATTTCTCCATTAAAACTCATTATATCTCCATTAAAATCTGCTACCCTTTCTTCTCAACAAGGACAGCCTACCTGGCTGGCATTCATTTGTGAATAATGGTGCCATACTCCTAGGCTGAGAGTGTGGGTAACATCTCTGACTCTCTCCCTAGTCCTGTTTCATTGGTCACTTCTACAGGGTTTCTGCGATTTGTTTGTTTCTTACCACTCTCACTACTGCAAACATGGATCAGCCTCTTATCCTGTAAACCACCAAACAAGCTCCAACACAGTCTGTCTGAAACAGCACGTATAGTACCAATATCACACAGCACGATAGCATTGGCATGAGGATGACATCGGCAAGACTGCACACCAACCGTCATCTCTGGCGGTGAGGTCACAGGGCCTTCCCTTTTTATTTGTCATAACTGATTTTTAAATAATCAACTTCCTGTTGGTTTGGTAACCATGAACAAACTGCACACGAATGGGCTTCCATGGGCCACTCGAACAAGCAAACTGTCTCCTGGACCATCTGCCTCACACCTCAAGCTCCCAGCCCCTCTGGTTTCTCATGCATATGAAATGCTCCCACAGCCTCCAATCACAGTATTTCATCACTGGAAACATGTTCTTCTCTCTCCTTTTCAAATCCCATTTTATGTCCACTCTCATCCTTACTTTCTCCCTTTTCTCACTATGTTTATATATGTTGTTTGAACTGCACAACTAGTACACTGCAAAATGTCTAACTTTATCTCTGTACTAGTTAGCGCTTTATTACATACCACTTTCTTTGATAATTGTCTTACGATTGAGATCAATGTCCCTAATCTCACCAAATAAAATTAAAGCTCTTAGTAGACAGAATTATGTATTTTTCTTCTTTAATCATAGCACTAACCAATAAATTCTTATGTATTACCTGATTATTTCTGGCTCATTGGAGAGTTTACAGACAAATAAATTAACAAATATTACAGGGAGAAAGTTCAATAAAGTTAACTTGAGGGTGAAGGGTTCTGAGGACCAGGGACTGTGTCCAGGAGGGAGAGGTATTGATCTTTGCCCTCCTGCCTGAGCTCCTGTAATCTTCTAACTAGACCGGATGGAAGATGAGACCCCTCCAGGGCAGCCAATAAGAGAGCGGCCTTGGTGGCCAGCAAGAAAAGACTGGTACAACGTCCTGTTACATTTCTAACAGAGGTTACAAGTTTTCTGACAGCAAAATGGATGCTGGAATGTATCTTCTTAAGTCATGTCACTTGCTTCCTAATGCAAAATTAAAATTTG